ATGATGAGAGGTGGCAGGAAAGAGAAGCGAAAGATGACTTACTTGGGGTTTTGGGGAAGGGCGCAAAGAGTTGGGATGGATGGTGTAAGAAGTGGGAGAAGAATCCAAAGAAGGCGGAGAAGAAGTGAAGGGATGGGTGTTGTGGAGGAGTGCAATTGAATATATGATTTAGCGTAATGTAATACATGAATTTATGTAATCTTACGATTGATATGAAGGACGTTGATGAATTTCATCATTGTCACTACACAAGGAAATCCTTAACATTCTCACATTCGACCCCGCTTCAAGGTCCAGTACTATTTCTCCAGTGCGAAAATTGTGTTTTTGCGTCGTTTTTTTAACACATCCCTTGTTTTTTTTTTTAAATCTCTCAACATAAGTGCGCAGTTGCGAATTGTGGAGATGGAGGATGAGGTGGTTGTTGGGCCCGTCGGGGCTTGGGGGAGGGGGCACGATCTTGGACATGGAGCTAAGGTGGATGGATATTGAGATGCCGGTACGGAGGACTTCGGGAGTTTGGATTGACTGACGGATTGATTTCTTTGAACCGTGTCTTTCGTTGAATATTATGTGTGACTGTTTGATTGTTTGACTTTTGCTTGGTGTTGATGAAAAGTTAGACGATGAAGCAAGCTAGTGTGGGTGATCGAGGGAAAGAGCCACATCTGTGCCTTCTTCATTTGTATCCGTCACGTGTAGATTGGCGATATTCAATTTTTGATTACCTACCTAGGTACCTATGGTTGATTGGAGGTTAATTCTTCAGTTGAAGGAATGTAAAGGATATGGAATACCGGTAATACCAACCCAGAGTATCTTATACGATGGACAAATCACTTTTACCTCGAGCCACCCGGCATGAAGATATATGTAAGCTCACCACCTAAACCCTTACCACGTATCGGAAACATCATAACCAGACGTACTGTCATCTGGTTGGAAAAGCTCTTGAAGAGGCTGGAAACGAGATTGGAGTCTCGAAGGATTCATTGAATCACCATCTAGCTTTTCTGATATGTTTCAGGTAATGTGATTGCTAAAAGAATGTTATAAATTCTACTCCCATGCTCCAGCAAAAGCGCTGAAACCATTATAAGAACGTCAAACCCACTCAGTGACGGCGCGTAGCGAGGCTCATTACGTGGGCGACTAAAACAGAGCCAATATCTTGGTGATCTTCGACGGGCGCATTTGGGAGTGTTTCGAAAGGGAATACGAACGGCGAGGCATCGGCAATCACGGGCGGGATGCTGTAATCATCTTGATGTGATTCCGAGCTCGGCTAATCGCTGAAGACTTCGAGAAATTCTGAACATGGATCATTGTCGAATTGTTCAAAATCGTCCCAATTAAAGTTTGTGAAGTGTAGAGGGTTGTGATAGAAGTCGAATCTACCTACAATTGATTGAACAAAAGGATTTCATCATTCGCACCAGCTTACATACCTAATTGCCAATCATCATAAACTGAGATTGATTGCTATGCGGAGATCTATGACTCCGCTCTTCAAAATTATATCTGAGATCCTACAGCAAAATGCTGATAGATCTCAGTTTAAAGGACTAGATGCCCCTTATTCAGTGAATATAAGTACAAATAAATTGTGTTGTGATGAATTGTTGATGAATAAAATGAAATGGAGCAATCGCGAATCTAATCTTAATTCAAACGGAGGCCCCACGACGAACAAGTGCAGCACAATTTTGGAGGTAGTTGCGCACATAGATCCAGAGGACCAATGATAGATACCTATCCATTGCCCAGGTGCTGCCCAGTATGAGCCTGTGGCTGCTTCATCAGCTAATTGAGTGTCGAAATCATCGCGAGGCCTCCGAGCTAGGAGAAAATGAGACTGTAGATAGCAAGGGATCTTTCTCTGAGTGGTGAATAATGAAGGGCGAGGCCTCCATTAGAGTAAAATGATTGAGATACTCACAGTTCGTAGTTTCAGTAGAATTTTAAAATCATTCTAAGATGTAAGATACCTTCAACAGCGCTCGGGATTATCACATGACCGTGCTAGCCATTTTCAAATCAAATTCGTTAAACACCAGCATTTAATAACACCACAGCACGAATAGGGATGTAACACAGAGATCTAGACTAGCCCTAGGTAATTATCCGATACTCAATTGAGGGCGGCTAAATGTTATTGAAGTACAATAAACGCATCTCATGCCACTACAAAGTCCAAGCGCGATCCAACAGTACGTACGTTCGACATCGTGCGAATCCTCCACTTTGGTACCACCAACCACAAATCTGACCTCGCATCGAGAGCCCTGGGTCTTGGGTTATATCCCATTCCAACATTATTTCCTCGCACTCTAAAGCCATGTATTTCTAAATGTAAACCCGAGGTCCCTCGTTTTCATTACTCCTTTTGACCAATGACGCCGGAGTTTATGTAAAGTGAAGGGCCTCTCCCAAGGTCTGGCTAAGGATCATTTGCTACTGCCGCGATCAAGGCCATGTTCGCTCGTGTTACACTATTCTATCGCTCGCTTGGCCCTGCAAATCACCCCTCTTTCCACAATGCTGGTACCAAAATATGTTTCATTCTCCACTTGCATGGGAATAGCCCAGGCCATATCCTGAGCATCATAATCCTTCCCATTGAAGCAAATCCCCAGCAAAAAGATCATGTGCAAATCCTAAGATTCCAAGAGCAAGTCAATTTATCTACTGTAGCTCTGTATGTGGCAACTCATCAGAGAATGATTCATGGGCACCAGAAACAGGATAGCTGACGGTATGAGAAAGGGGTATTGGTACTGCGATTGCGGGTGCTGAAAGGACAAAGAGGCCAATAACAAAGATAATTCTGAGGGAGCTTGAACTTGTGTTTAGGAATTGCATTCTGGATGACTTGATTGCGGGTATATGTTCTAGTTCCTGATTAGCTGTGAGTATTGTGAAAATGAAATGAGCGTACGCTTTGGTATCAAAAACGGATAGTAGGACTATAACTTTTCTTTGCGGATCACTGTTGTATTTTCTGAATGTCCACGAAAAGTCGAGCTGGTGGCTTTTGTTTTCTCTTCTTTGTATTGAAAATGTGCGAGTATTTATGTCCTAAATTCTAGGACCTCTGACTGATCTCTTCGGCGTAAACTTGTTGTTGGGGCTGGGCGGTTATGAGCAATATCAATCTTGACATAAGATATCCACTTGAAGATATTTGGCCTCTAAAAATCGTTCTTTTATTAGATATCAGTGGTCATGAATAGGTTGATTCGATGCGCCGCGAAAAGTATCAATTAAAAATCGTAATTAAAGTTCAAGTGAAGAAACCAAGGATGCCTTTGGAGATTGGAGCGGGAAACGTTGAGCAATATTTGCTCCTTTTGTGAAGCCCAGCACATATTGACATGTTCTTCGCTACATTCCAAAGCTCTCTGTTGTGAATTTTTTCACCCGTTTCAAATAATGGTGGGCGTTTTGAGGAATGTAATACTTTGAATATTGCTTGGCATTTACCTTGAAAAATGTGTTCTGCCTTAGAGTCACTTCTTGACCCTTAGACGTGGTACCAGTGAAAAATGTATCACGAAGTAGTCCTAGACTCCACTCTCGCTTCAAATAAATTCAGGGGATGTGACGGATGATCGAACAAAAAATTGGACGTCTAAAACCAATGATGTTACATGGAATATAGAATCAAGAGTGATTGTTTCAACCCTATCATTTGCGAAAGCGCTACGAGAAAAGCCCGGGGATGCAATAGTGAATAGATTAAAATAGACTTGACACGACTGGATGACCGCCAAGACTGTTCATCCGAATTCCTACTAGAGATCGAAATATTTGAATCTTCTGAGAACGTTTTGTGCTCCCAACTAAGAGATCTAAGCCTTGAAACAAGACGGCTTTCAGTAGGTATAATGTCCAATAGTGCCATATAGATTCAGATGTCCAAGCAAACGGAAAGTGAGGCTAAGGCACAGGATAGGCACAAAGACTACGTAGGTAGGCGAAGTGAGAAATGCTCAGATAAGAATCAGTATAGGTTGAAGAGTAGAGTTCTCTAGCTTTAGACACGCTAATAGAATTACCAACATATAGCCTTTTTGTTGACCAAAGGTGTGGGACCAGAGATACGAGATAAAAGTCATGGATGAAATAGTGAAGTTCAGGTGAATGCTGTACATTCAATGGCTAAGAATGCAAGTTTTCAGAGCCCATATTCATCCTATTATTGCAAAGCAAAAAATGGATATGAATACAAATTGGAGTGTTGGAGTAGCGGAGATTCACACGTTCCAAAGTGAATTCTTGACTTGTGGTTAATTAGGTAGGCATGCTTGGGGTAAATTCATCTCAAATTGAATCCAACATATAGTGTATATCTGTGATTAATTTTTCACCTTCGTGAATGAAGATAGCCAACTAACCTAATACGGTTTTCTTTCTATTCCTGCGTATCAAAATTTTCCCGACTACATGACTGTCATGTATAACTTTGTAGGCGAAGCAAAATTTTAGTATTCACTCGAACTAATTTCCTCAGATTGCTTCAAGAAAGTAAAGATCTCATGAAAGAGAGGCTCATCAAAGCGGCGTTCGCTTTGAATCAAATTACCTTTTCAAGATGAAAGGCGCAGTTATTCTCTGAAGCCGTATTGGCTTAAACCATACTATGTTTTCGAGATATTTTGCGCAGTACCCTCATGATAGATTCACCGGTACGGTACAGCCTGGTATCTCAAGCTCTTCAACTACCATAAAAGGTTGAGCTCTCTCCTGCCTACAATTTTACTTTATATCAACACAACATCAGAACAAATTCTAGACTCTTCAAGCAAAAAAGCACCACAATTGACATTCTCTGTCTCTTTTTACCTCAACACACCCTCACATTTACAGTAAGTGAAAAGAAACTTCTTTTGAGGAGCAAAGAACTGACGATACTTCAGCCCAAATCACAATCGATACTCTAAAACCTACTACCCAACTTCAACATGCTCTTTCTTAATCCAAACCGCATCATGCCAAACATGATTGGACTTCTCTCATTCCTCTCAGTCACTGTCCCAATCGTCAACGCGACCCCAATTGTCTCCCAGGCAGTCTCCAAGGCAGCCTCCCTTGCACCTCGTGCCGATCCTGGATTCTCATGCCACATGGCTCCTGAAAACTACTGCACCATCGGTATCACTGTAACTCCATCGAGTCTCGTCGATGAACAACCTGAGTTCATTTACCTATTCGATAGTTACTGTAATAGATATGGATTCATGGAATCGGGCTTCAACATCGACATGGCTAGCCGTCTTCCATATAAGATTGTCGGAACACTATCAGCCGGAGAAAGTGCCATGGAACGCATTGCGACCAACCCTAGCATTTGCTATGCTGGTAGATGTTGGGGATCAAACGACCCTTGCTGGAACAGAGTCCCTATCGGCAATGGAAGAGACCAGTGGCAAAATGTTTGTGTATTCCAATGTAACAACATGAATGCCCCCAGAGACAACGCAGTTGAGGCTATTGATGGAGCATCGTTCGATACCAAGGCTCTCGAAGGAACAGTAGATGCTCATGATGGAGACATCATTGAGACTCGCGATGGAACCATCAATCGTCGAGGAGATTTTTGCCATCATGCCGACCCTGGCTATTGCACCATAGCCATCACAGTAACACCTTCAAGACTCGCTGAGGGAAAAAAGACTGACATGGTTTACCTTTGGGATAATTCTTGCCGTCAAATCGGAGGCATGTTTTCGGACCAAAACATTGATATGGCAAGTCAACTTCCATATAAAATTATCGGCCACATGGCATTTAACAATCAACGCCTTACCGCCTTCCCTGAATTTTGTTATGCGGGTAGATGTACGACTGCGTATAATGGCTGCTGGATTCATGCCGATGTTGGCGATGCTCAATGGGTCAATCGTTGTCAGTTTCCCTGCAATTAACCACAACTTTATTTGCAGAACACGCGGATGATTCAGCAATGCCGATGGGGGGGTGGGAAAGCAGGATCTATCGAGGTGATCGACTGATTAGAGAAGCAGATCAATCAGCATCGCTGGCAGATAAGCATAGGAATTGCTTTTGGCATGGATTTGACAGCTTATGCTGATTTCGGGTATTTCTTTTGTTATCTGATGGCAGGTTTGACATCTTAGGAAGTTTGGGCGTCATGGTACTAATGATTGATTTTGTTTCGCATGTTGAGGGGCTCAAGCTTTTTAGCGTCGGAGTTTATATGTAGCGGATCGGCTGATGAGCGGATCGGTGCATCCCAAGGTGAAAACCTACCTATCTAGACTCCAAAAAGCTACGAACAGATCAATGATAAAGAAAATACATCAAAATCAGTCTACTTTCAATATGTGAAATTGTTTATGCAATATATGTATAGAGTTTCCATTGCTTTTGATTTGAAATGCAAAAAAATGAAAACGTAGAATCAAATTACGTGTACAATGAAAGTACCTAGGTACAATGTAGGGAAAACGAGAAATTTGCCCCTAAATGGACAATATCCTGATAGTTGTACCTCGGTTCATTCTTGGTGGTGCATCGGATTTCCTCAACTACTGAGTCAATCACACCACACCGAAAGAACTTTCTTCCAGTTTCGGTCCTACTGATCCCTTTGAAAAATCCTTTAAAACAAAATTATAAATAAAGTTTTTATCTTGGCAAATCGTATATCCTATAGTGAACCATGGTTGTTATACTAGAAACGTATAGTCATCAGTGCCGCATCCCGTGCGTCACAGGCGTTGTCGATCTAGAACAGCCGTAGAATGATCTTGAGCCCCCAAATGACAAATTTTCCTGCCGTTTGGTTGGTTGTCTGGCGGTAAACATTTGAATCTATGAGAAAAGGTAGAAAGCCCTTTAAGCTTGCCGAGGTTAACTGATCAATTCTTGATGATACGGCCGCAGTGGGTCGTTAGTTTTGTGGATTTTATGTGGATTTACATCATACTAATCGCTAGAACTTTCATCCTACCCGGAAATTATTCAGTAGTGAAGAGTGCCAAATAATAACATAATAAGGAGGATCTCGCACCATGGATCTTATTCTTCATCCATCTCAAAGATTGTGATCGTCTCTCAGTTCGAATTCTCCATAAGATTTTGGATCTTTTGCGTGCAATATGTTCGACTTAGCACCCCGCCCCGATGAACCGATCGTTATCTCAACGACCCATAAATCATATCGATTGGGAAAAGATAGAGGTTTACCACCTCATCTTGTTGGTGAACAGAGCAACTATCTCGTCGAACTAACGGATGAAAATGACCCTGCTAATGCAAAGTCATGGACTTTTGGAAGGAAGATGAGAACTGCTGCAGTTCTTGGATTTGATACTCTTATCGCATCATGGGGTTCATCTGTATACTCAGCAGCTGTGGCACCAGTCGCTTACGAATTTGGCGTCAGTGAGGTTGTGTCTATTCTTGGTTTGACTTTGTATATCTGTGGTTTTGCAACTGGTATGTTTTATCCCCGCAATTTATACCTTGAACCTCATGGCTAATGAACATCTTACAGGTCCCTTGTTTTTCGGTCCAATATCTGAACTTTATGGTCGAAAGAAACCCGTAACCTTAGCATGCTTTGTTTTCACCTGCTTTATGTTTGCGGCGGCAACTGCCAAGGATTTCCAAACATTGATGTTATGTCGATTCTTCGCAGGTGTCTTCGCTTCTTGTCCCTTGGCTGTTGTCGGTGGCGCTTTCGCTGATATGTTTGGAAACGAGACTCGAGGTATTGCTATTGCTGCTTTCTCAGCCTTGGTATTTATCGGCCCCTTCATCTCGCCTATCGTTGGAGCATTCATCACCACGTCTCACCTCGGTTGGAGATGGACTGAATACATCACTGGTATCATGGGTGCTCTCGCTTTCATTCTAGACATCTTGTTCCTCGAGGAAACATACGCCAAAACACTCCTCCAAAGCCGAGCAGGAAAGATTCGAAAGGAGACTGGTAACTTCGCCATTCACCATATCAGTGAAGAAGAGATCATCAGCTTTGATGATCTTGTTAGAAAGCACTTGTTCCTCCCATTCAAGCTTCTCTTCGGAGAGCCAATCGTATTCCTCATCACAATCTATACCGCTTTCATCTATGGTATCTTGTATCTTTTCTTGGAAGCCTACCCTATTGTGTTCGCCGAATACCGTGGAATCGACCCAGCAGTTGCGACACTACCATATTTGGGAATGATCATTGGTGTTCTCTTCGGTTGTGGTATCGTCATTGCCTTCGAGCCAAGATACAATCGCAAACTCAAGGCGAATGGTGGCATTCCAGTTCCCGAGGAGAGACTTGTTCCAATGATGGTTGGTGCTTGTCTATTCCCTTGTGGTCTATTCTGGTTTGCATGGACAGGAAACTATCCATCCATCAACTGGGCCGCTCCAACTGTCAGTGGTATATTGACTGGAGCCGGTATCATGACCATCTTCTTACAAGCTTTGAACTACCTTATCGATTCATACTTGTTTGTCGCTGCGAGTGCTATCGCTGCCAATACCTTCCTTCGATCTTTCTTCGGTGCTGGATTCCCATTGTTTGCCACAGCAATGTTCCACAATCTCGGTGTGCAATGGGCTGGTAGTTTGTTGGGTTTCTTGGCTATCGCATTTTTGCCAATTCCTTTCTTGTTCTACAAGTATGGTGAAAGATTGAGAAAGATGTCTCGTCATGCTCCAACCGATTTCGGTGTACCCAAGAATCAGCCCGTCGACGAGGAGACCGGCACTGCAGTTACCACTGCTGCACCTTCGATTGAAGAGGAGAAACCAGAACGGGTGGTGTAATGCGATGTATTATGATGATGGATACACTGATATGTTGGATGGAATGACTAATATGAAGTATACTTATCTATGATTATTTTTCATGAGATGATTTCGCATCGTTGCATTTTGATGGCGTCGTTGGTATCAATACCCTGGTTGAAGCGTTGCATTTTTACATAGATTAGAACTTATACACCTTAATTTATATATTATATATTAGAAACAAACCACAATTCTTGGATTCATATGTGAGATATCGATCGTGAGTTTTGAGGCTTGAGCGAGGAGAGAACGAGCGAGCATACAGGTTTGACGCGTATCACGTGATTGGTACAAGGTTACCCTTATTCTTTGAACCCGCAACAGCGGATTGTTCTCGTTCTTATCTTCACCACTATGTACCATTACCCCGGTCAGGTGTAAAATCCGATCTTTACCAAGAGATGGCAAGAATATATACCCGCAATCATGCATTATGCACGTTGGAATCGATCTGGTTAGGGCATTACATGGAGTGAGTGCATGCTGCTTATTTGGTGGAGATGCTAACCTCATTGATAACCGCGTCTGACACGCCCATCTTATAGTTCGTCGCTGTTGTGTCTATATATCCTTCCAAACTAAATGACGATTTCCCTCTTGAAGCCTGGTTGAAAATATGCCTTACTGCGTTTCGAATCTCGGAATCTTACTTGGTCGAATACCGATTCACAGAATCCTAGCAGTGTTTCTCACAACAGTGCTCATAGTCAATCGATATTTCGCATGGTCTCGCCTTCGCCATATTCCTGGACCAGGATTGGCACCATTCTCAAACTTATGGAAGATAAAATCAGCATTAACTGACAGAATGCCAGAAGCGTTGAATGATGTGTGCGAAACATATGGTTAGAATACCTTGTTTTGACTTGTAATTCACCATGCTTATACAGTCTGGAAGGTTCATTGGCACGTACTGGACCAAATGATCTTGTTTATAGACTCTGATTTCATTCGACGGATGGATACTGCAAAGTTAGGATATCGTCGATCGAGATTTTATAGTTTTTTCGTTTTCGATCCTGATCAAGATACCATGTTATCGACTACAGATGAGAAAATTCATGCCGACCTGAAAGTGAAGACTGCTGCGGGCGTAGGCCATTCTTTTCGCAAAGCCTAGCTATGGGGTTGTCTTGATTACCTCGATTAGTATTCGGGCAAAGAAGTTGGAAACCTCGAGCAATCAATTGATAGGCAACTTAATGCGTTCATTGATTTGATTGACTTGAGCGAAAATATCTTTCAACACCAACCAATTTCCGACCCTTTGACTTTGATAAGAAGATTCAACACTTTACATTGGATGCAATTACAGATGTGGCTTTTGGGACGCCTTTTGAATGTATTGCTCAAGATGACGATATATATGATTACATCAAGACTGTTGAACAATTACTACCGGCTGCTGTAGTTACAGGAGTCTTGCCGTGGTTGTTAACTCTATCGCGAAGCTTTATCTTCAAGCCATTTATACCAACAGAAAAAGATAAGCTCGGTTTTGGAAAAATGATTCAGTATGGTTGCTCCGATTCCATGAGGAGAAATACTAACAGGTAACAGAGTTGCGAAAGATCTTGTTGCAAAGCGATTGGGAGAATCAAAAGAGGTTCAAAATGGTATCATATGCTTGCTTCTTTCATTGCCCACGAGCTCACTCAAGAAGAAGCTAATTCCGAGACCGTGCTTCAAGTGTTTGTCTCAACGATCTTCTTTTCATTTTCTGGGACCCGGAAAGCTAATGGGGGATGAAATCGCTGGTACGGATACGACTGCCACAGCAATTCGAGCCCTGTTACTTTACATTACAACTTCTCCAACTTGCTACACGGCCTTGCAAGCTGCTATCGATGAAGACTTCAGAATGGCGAAATGTCTTTCCCGGTAACTGATACTGAAGCAAAAGCCATTCCTTATTTACAAGCAGTCATCAAGGAAGGGCTCCGGAAGTTTCCTGTAATCGCTGGACTTCTACCTAGAACGGTACCTGAAGGCGGCGATATTATAAATGGCTTTAGTATTCCAGCTGGAACAGAGGTTTCACTTAGTTTGATTTCTACTGCACATTCGAAAGCCACGTTTGGGCCAGATGCCCATATTTTCAGGCCAGAAAGATGGTTCGAATGTGATGACACTGATAAACTTATAAAAATGACTCTTGCAGCCGATTTGGTATTTGGATCTGCTAAATGGTACTGTTCTAGGAATAATATAGCCATGATGGGAATAGGAAAGATCATTGTGGAAGCAAGTTTCTTTGACCGTAGGAAATCTAACAGACTGACACCAAAAAGCTATTTAGAAGATTCGACATATCCTTGGTGAATCCGACCAAGCCGTGGAAGTCGTTCAGTGCTGGGGCATATATAAAATCCGATCTTTCGGTTCGGTTCGCGAAGAGAACACATTGATAGCGAGGCTGGATACCTCCCGAGTAATTCAAGGTCCAAGACTTCAACTTAAGATGTCGTCGCAAAATTGACAAACTTCACTTAGGAGCATTCATATATAAATACCTAGGTATTGACATATTCATTTACCTAGTGGAAAGTCTCGACGTGTTTATTCAGCGCTGAACAACAATCGAGGCAGTTGTCGTAGCACGTGCTTGGAATTTAATTTACAGTTTATTTTTCTTTTTATTCTCGATGGCCGTACGAAGGTTAAGTCTTTCGATTCATCACATGACTCGTACTTTCGTGTCACTTCTATTCCACATGTGTCGAATAATTCAACAACGCAAATGACTAAATTACCACTCCTGTGATTCACAGCATGTGAATATGCGAGAATGATTCATAATACTCCATCTGTATTCTATCATGTTAGTCACTTTGATACAATGCCGAGCCGAATTTTTCTACTCGCAACCATACAAAGTAAAGTCTTCGAAGCTCGTGGATAGATTTCTTGCCGTATCGAGTCTATCCATTTCATCTAGTGCTGTAAAGATTTTGCAGCCTGTGTCGCTTTTTTCCCTTCATCTTTAATAGCAGCATGGAATTTTTTGGTACTCACGAACAGGACAGCGCTCATTCTTCTCGCCATGCAACAGTCTCCCAAATCCCCAGATAATCCCCTGCACAATCAAAATCGAAACTCATCCTTTCACTCCCTCCTAAACCTCGCGTCTCTGAGTCCTTTACGCACATTTCTAGCTCGCGCTCCCATTTCATCAAATAGTTCATCCGCTTCCTCAACCAGCACACCAGCCCCTCGTATTCCTCAAATCCACCCTGGCGAGTATGAGACCTACAAGTCCGTCAACAAACTCCTTTCGACATTCAACTCTCGCTCCATCGCCAAAGCCCGTCGAGCAAATGCCAAAGCCAAGGCCCAGCTTCTTCATAATGAAGAGGAAGATACATATCGTAGTATTCACTGCGGAGATCAAATCTGTTGTTTTTCTTCGCCTTATTCATTTTATCGCACACGTTCAAAATTATCCTCATCTAATACGCGATCTAAGTATCACCAATCACAATCTCGATCTCGATCCGTTTCGAATCCAAATTTACGGCTCGCGAGTTTGAAAGGCGATGGAGAAACCTTAGCCCCTTCTATTTCTTCAATATCCCTACATCCTTTTCGCAGACCCCTTACTATTACCGGAAGTTCGAAACGGTCGATTTTCCTCTTTTCAGGAAGTCCACCACCATCGGAAAAATCGCTACGGCCTTTGTATGAATATCCTGAGCCGGTTGGATCGAGAAGTTCTAGTTGGTTGAATGGACAGCTAGGTATGGACGTGGAGAGATCGAAGAGCATTAGTTGGACTGCGGATATGCCGGTCAATCGTCGAAGAAGCGACAGCCAGAATTATCGACCGAGTAGCTTATCTCTATTTTCATGGACGGCAGAAGACGTAGAATTGGGGTTAACGGAAGAAAATATGCCAGTAAAAGAGAAAGGAGAAATAGAGATTGCTTATGAATGGGATGGAGCTTTTGGATGGACACAAGCTTGTAAGGAATGTGGGAGAGAAAGATGTGTCAAATGCTCAGGGGTTGTGTTTGAACAGATTGTTGAAGAGGGAGAGACCGTCACTGGGAAGGAAGGGATGTTTAATATTTGTACGCCGTGTGTGCATGGATTTTGTCCAGGGACAAAAATGTGGTTGAGAATTAGATGTAACAAGTGTGGAGAAGTAGGATGTTCAAGATGTAGTAAGTTTCGTGCGATGGAGGGTTAGGGTGGTTGAAATATATCGATAGCGAACATAGAAATGATAGGGTCGAATGAAGGGTACCCAGTAATCAAGAATACAATGCATTACTAAGTTTCTCTGCTCTCGCAATCAGACACTTGTATATCTCCATTGTGTATTCTGTAGATCCGCAAACACGTAAATCAGGAAAATTCGAAACTTTGTGATGCAGAACTTGTGAATCCCGAGGGCTTATAGAAAGCTCAGAGGATCAGTCAAATGCCTATTTTAAGCAATCTAAATCCAAGCATCAACCGTGATTCAAGAATGAGAGACTCTAAGCAGAACAGGGCTAAGCAGTCCTTTCGACTTCATGGATAGACACTCTTTCGACTATTGGATAATATATTGATATGACAGAACAAAATCTCCATGGTAGGAACCTTCTGAATAAATTTGAACGAAAAGATTTGGAAGGAAGGCTCTAGTCATGCTGACGAGCATTTACCATTTTCTCTGCATCTTTCCGTATCCACCTATCTCTTTGATCAATGATCTTTGAACTTAGAAGGAACCGGCTTCAGACCCGATCATGATAGAAATTTCCAGATACCCACACTAGGGGGCGAAAAGCAAAAATTGAATGCACATAAGAGCTGCAGTAATGGTAATTCAATGATAAGATCTGTATTTATTATATTGCTTGCTTAAACAAGTTATGTAGATGGCAGTGTCGTATCTCCCGAGGAAAGGAAAATGGATCAAGCGATAGATGCGATTTGAATAATAAATCGACGAGCATGAATACTTTCTGATTCTTGGATCAAAACATAAACATTCGTTCTAACCCTTTAATAATCATGTAGCCCATCACTCCCACCACCTTTCACACGTGGACCGCAAAACTATCATGGGGTCCACCTTCAAGTGCAGCATTTTGCTAACTACATGACACATGCCAGAATGGCATGGAGGAGAAACAGACGGCCAACTATGCCACCTAGAGCTGGGCAAATCAAGCAAGTCTATGAGGACTGTTACCTTCTTACTATGTAGAGATACAAAAACAGGCTCTTAGGGAATCTACGAGCATCCCTTGAGCTCTCGATTCAGACCGTGGCTTGTGTTTGAGGAACGGGAAGATTTGAAACAATTTCAATAAAAATAGTAATATCACGTCCCAGCTCCAACAAAAGTATCCAGTGATTGAGAACGTTTGACTTGCGAAATTTGCATCTCTGATGCCGTGAGTTTTTGCAATCCTTCGTACGACCGGACCTTGCGGTGCATAGGATGACGTGCAGATAATGCTTGTTCCACATATTGTATGCATACCAGGTATGACGCAAGCTGAATGCTGAGTATTAAAATGGGCAAATTGTGTTTAAACAATTCAACAGCGAAGGAAATTGGGAATGCAGTTATGCTATAATTAACCCAAATTGTCAAGGCCAGGCAAAGAATGTTCTACGATGTAAGGATGTCATCGGATAAACCTCAGATTAAGGTCAAGTCCAAAAAATAATCCGTGCGCTAGATTGACACGTGATCAAATCCTCAGGTTCATAGATTTCCCCAGATTGTTGTTGAATCAACGACAAACATCAAACCATGACAGCTTTATGAATACTTAACAACTCTCCTTGACCTCTTCTTCTATGTCATCTGTATCTCATGGCTTCACAGGTAAGTCTCTCATCATTAATGTGGGGCTGCTATGAAAGTAACCATCATATGGCGAAATCATGGTTCCTCATAGTAGTGAGAGTTCCTACATGATCTCCATATATCTCTGTTACCACCTTCTTCATCTATCATTTATACATCTATATATGATAATTATCACATTCTCTATCATTATAGTAAGTTTAAAAGCTCCTCAGCCAAGTATTGCTGTTGCTTTTCCACTTCTTCTCTCCTCTTTGAACTCTCGTCTTTCCAGATTCACACAAGCCTCGCTTCGGCTACCAGTCATCATCAAGGATTCCAATCAAGCAAAGAACGGCTACATACCTTATATCTTATTACTGTCACTTTTTCAGATCAACGCGCCTTCTTTCTGTCAAACATCAACATACAAACTCATAATTCAAAAAACATCAAAACTTACATCTCATACATCAACTTCTACCTTAATATTTAGGTTTATTCTCAATATTTTACAATGGCCGGCGGAAAAGGAAAATCTTCTGGTGGAAAGTCATCTGCTGGAGGCAAGGTTGGCGCAGATGGAAATAAGAAGCAACAAAGTCATTCGAGCAAAGCTGGTCTTCAGGTTAGTATTGCGCAAGCTTTACATTTCATTTTTTCTTTGCCACTATGAAATGTTGTGGTTCGATCCGGAGAGAGACGGAAACTACGATTTTTACAATAGCTACACCCCACCAAGTCGCGTCAACTTTCGATCTGCGAATAATCCCTTAGAACAATTACCAACAGTCGCGATGCACATTAATCTCGATGAATACAAACTCCTATTCATGACTCAACGATTTGTCCAAAGCCTCGTCGAGGAGGTCTTTTCGACGCGCACCGAATATCAACATGCATACGCGAAATAAATTTTCACATCCTGGGAAAACCTCGATTTCGGAATACCTCTTTCTTTCTTTGTTTTGAATTGCGCATTGATTGTTAGATTTTTGAATGCTGACAAATTTTGAATACAGTTTCCTTGCGGTCGTGTCAAGCGTTTCTTGAAGAACAACACCCAGAACAAAATGCGCGTGGGAGCGAAAGCAGCAGTTTATGTTACAGCTGTCTTAGAATACCTAACTGCTGAGGTACTTGAGCTCGCAGGAGTAAGCTACATCTATACCCCACGATTGCGTAAAAAAGCATCTACTGATCATTTTAGAACGCTGCCAAGGATCTCAAAGTCAAGCGTATCACACCCCGCCATCTACAACTTGCCATTCGCGGTGACGAAGAACTCGATACACTCATTCGCGCAACTATCGCTTTCGGAGGTGTGCTACCACACATAAACCGCGCGTTACTTTTGAAGGTAGAACAGAAGAAGAAGAAGACTATCGAGTCCGCATGATTATCGCAAATACACACGTCTTCGAATCATTTACGCACTCCGCTTTTTTTGCGCTATTTCCTTCTTCTCTTTCTAAGGGTTCAGAGTTTGATGGTGTCTTGGGGATATTCACTTTTTGCTTGGTTTCATAATGGAATTGATTACGTATCATGGATCGGACTATGAGATAGGATTATAAAAGGCTACATGTGTTCATCCATGAATGAGGCACAATTCGGAACGACTTTTCTCTGGATTGTTGTGGAATCACCTCAGGCCGATGTACTATTATCGATTTTGAATGAGATCGGATATTGCTTCAACTTTACAGTAGTAAATGTGATGTTCAAAATGATTATGCGGTATTTTGGATACCAAACCAATGCTAAATGTTATACATTCTGGCAATTCGCAATATCCACTTTCTCGAAGAACCTCTCAGTTGCAGGTTCACCAAATTACTCGAATCAAACAAACGTGGATCATTATCGAATATGCTACCTCCTCTGTTCATCCCAGGGCGTGACCTCATCAAGATCATCCTCATCATCACTATCCTCTACTGTATAAAACATCTTCAAAGGACTACTAGGTGGACTTTCAATCTCTACACTAGCTCTCCGACTTTTGCTTCCCTCTCCTTCTCCCACACTCGGTCCTCCCAAACCTCCATCCACTACCTCTCCCACCATTTTTCCATACTGCACCTCTGACAACCTCAATCCCGTGAGCTGTTCAATCTTCGCTATACTTTTCCGTTTCTTCACCCGTATGAACTCCCTCACATACCCCTGTTCATCCTCTTCCGTTTCTTCTTCTCCTGCTAGATAGTCTAGTTCAGGAGGATACGAGACTCCTAAACCATCTTTCAATTCCTTTCTTTCGTTTTCACGTTCTTTTCCTTTCGGACTCGTAGATCCACTGCCGCCATAATTTATATCCGCAAAGGCGGTATGACTTGTTAGAGGACTAACGATGAATTGCGCCTCGTGTTCTAATCCGCGTTTCTCCGTTTCCAAACTCTTTCGTCGTTCGCGCTCAGCGAGCATGCTTAAATCGGGAGAAGTGATATCTGGCATCAGGTTTGAGGGACCGTGGAATTCGCCATGAGCATGAGTGGCTGGTGGTGTAGTAGCTGCTATATCAAATATCAACTGTTGATCTTCTCGTTCATCATCTATGCGCTGACGTTCCTCTGCACTGATTGGAGAAATGGGAAAAATCAACTCCGGCTCGCTTTTTTGTCGCGTTTTGGGGGTTATCGCCGATCGTAAGTGTAGGGTTTGGCATTCCGAGGGGAAATCGCAGTCGCGGTAACAATCTTTGCCTATTTTTAATGGAGGGATGAAGTGTGGGTTGTTCAGAGAACGAGATTCGGTTTTCAGGAGAGAGATGTCCCGTCGCCAGTTGTTGTAATGTTCCCAGCCTGTGTAGTCAAATTCGGCGCGGCAGCCACGGGGTTGGCGACGCCGTTTCTTTTTCTTTCTGGGGGGAACCAGGGAGGAAAGGGAGCTAGTGAAGGGGGAGGGGGACACGGGAGAGGCAGTTTGTGGAGATGGGGGTGGAGTGGGCATAGAACAGAAGTAATGGCCGTCCTCGACTATAGAGATGGTTATTAGTAAATGATGTGCATGAGGAGAAATGAGTAGATCTTACGGCAGCGGCGGGTGACGCCAAGACGATAAACGGAGTGACATATGTGACAACGCCAAATCCATGGGTAGGGTATAGGAGGTGGGGGCTTGTGAAGATGCGGCGAGATGGGTGGGCTAGGTAGCAGGCTGCGTTGGTGGAGTCGTCGAGGTGGTGTTAAGGGGGAAAGAGGTGAAGGATGGGACGTTCCATGTTTGAGAAGAGAGGGATAGCTGGGCACCGTTATGTACTGTGGTCGACGATCCATGATACCTTATTATGGTATCCTCGTTGAATTTGTCGATCAATGACGACTTGATGATCTACCGGTCTCTCAAGAAATGAGGTGGAATAGATGTTGATAGCCGACGGGGTTATTTCTTTGTTCGTTACTGGGAAGCAATTTCAACAATGTACTCGTTCTTGCGTTCTGGAAAATCTCATTCAACACCAGCGCGATGTTGCCGATGTCAAGAAGTCAACGACGAAGCTCTAAGGATTCCGGATATAATTTCGGTATTCTTCTCACGAAACTTATCAGGTCTTCAGTCACACATTCCGTCGCTGTGGCGGCAATTCTTTGAAAGGAGACTTGTGCTGGAACAACCCGAGGCTCTAACCACAATGCAAATAGCAAGGTTCAAATGGCCAGTTAATTCAATGGTGCTCCTACTTTGCTAATCAAAAAGATGAGATGGAATGACAGGAAAATGAAGAAAAAGCAAGCAACTGAACAAGAAACGAGAACCTCTATAGATGAGCAATTAAAGATTCACTTTCTGAAATTATCTCATTCTCAACCATCTGGTCAGGTTCACCATCTGCTGTTGAGGCGTCTTTGTTTAAGAGGCTTGATCTTTCTTTCATAGAATTATTCCGTCTAACTGTATTAGAGAGGTGTGCAATGTATCATTGATAGATAAGCAACAAAGGAATAGATAGCGTTGGAATGAGAATGATTCAAAATGACGTTTCAAACCCATACGAAAGTTGTTGGTTGGGCAGTGGGCCAAGGCCAGCCAGCATAATGCAAGTTTTGGGAGACCTGACCAACAATTCATCAGATCTTTCATGATATGCGAGATTGTTTAAGGACTTCCAATTCCGATAGATAGATTTTATGAGGGTTAAACTAAGCTTCCCAAGTAAATGTGTTCTGGACCATATCTCTGATGGCTCACCATTCAAATTACTATATCTGAGCATGGTGTTTAGTTTCGACATTCAAAGTCACTAGGCAAAAAGTAGATTTGGAATTCCTAATATGTCTTGCGTTTCAAGATTCTGCGATGCTGTTGGGGTCGCTTTTTGGTTGTTGGTGGTCCACCACCCGGGCTCGGATGGACGATGGTTTTCAACGAGCACCCTTTAATGTTACGGCGAATATGTAGCAATCACGTATTTCAGAAATGAAGTATCGGGGTTGAAGTGGTCTTGACATCGAGATTCTCGATATATAGGTGTTTTATCACTATGTTCGGCAGGTCAGTACAAGTTCTTAAACACTGCACTTGATCTACTGTGAGCTGTAGATTGATCGACTTCGACAATTCGAAGGCACAGCCTGTGTGGTATATGATAGGAGAAGTCGTGGTATAGGCGATGGGAAAATCGAAAAGAAGTTCCAGAAGTATGAAAGCCACTGCCCAGCCATACTGCTGAATTCATTTCGGTATCTACGCCGCGAACAAGTGATAGCTAAGGATAGATTTGAGACGTATATCAAGCTTTCTTATCTCATCCTCGAAACCCTTCGCGTGGGTCATAAGCGGATATGCGAGCCAAGAGGTGGCAATCCTGTGTGTTTGCGACATCCAGAGATATTATGTGACAGGTTAGGATTAGATACACGATCTCCAAGATCAGTGTGAACTCTTAGAGTTCGGATATTTAAGGCTGGGAAGTTCCTCAAGCGACTTCGTGGTTGGCACAAGTAGCTCATGGACGTATTTGAGGCATGAATTACTTGTGAATTTCGTTCAAAAATAACTCCAATGTAGAATCGTCATCACTCGGTATGCATATCCAAGTGATTCGTATGTTTCGATCATCATTTCATGTAGTTTTGAGAGCTGAATGTTTCTGTGAAATTAGAATATGAATAACATTGTGTAAGAACAGTAGAAAGCAGTAAAGGAAATTGATTGTACGATTCAACATCTTGGGATTGATAAAAGAGCATCATCCAATTTGACTACTAGCCAAGCTGGTGATTACATAACCCTACCACGTGATGCGTGGCCATAGCTTGATGTCTCTTGACGCCGGTAGATCACCACCGTCATTATTATTATCATTCATCGATCATCAATTGAGTCTTTTTATCTTCAATATTAGGTTGGCTAAATGAAGTTCATATTGTAGTCGTCAACAGTCTCCGGAATCTTACCTTACGATATACATTCAAATTCGGAGACACGACCTCATCTGCTGGACAAAATTAGAAAGGGACTAAATGATCTAGAGCAGTGGCCATGAGGGCAGTTTAATAACATTGATTAATTGAAAAGTAATATCTGTATCCGATGGTCCCATAATGATATGCTGAGACGTCTCGTTGCAAGCAGCAGTCATGCAGGCTTATTTTTCACCCTTGTTACATGTACGTACGTATCCCCTTGCTTGTCAGAGTAGCATTTTTTGAGACGTCTATAACTAGCTTTTACTGATAGCTCATATTTACAAGGTACATGGTTGCTTCGTATGAGACCACATGGAGTAAATAAGCATCATTCAATCTGTATGGCTGCGGTACTCTCACACTCCTGTGCGGCCCTGCATCCGAATGTCACCGTGATTCGGATACACCAAGTCTGCCAATGACACTTAGTGCCGGGTCCGTGAGTTTTGGTGTGCAAGTCACCCCATACTGGAAGCCACTTGAAGATCTCATCCTCCAGTACTTCCATATGGAGGAGTATGTTAGGACATGCTGGATTGATTTGGTCTTGTCTTCACAAAGTTCCACCTTTTTAGGTCAATGGATATACATTGGAACGGCGATGTCTTTATGCATTATCTAGATACTTTCTCTAGCCCATTACGCTATTCGATCATCTATTCCTGCTCTAGGAACACGATCGATATTGAGATATTACCACATCCAATCCTGCGCCAGATTTATGACGATTCTGATTTGATACTGACTCTCCATGCTGATTCGAAGGAGTGTTCCCTGTTTCTTTCAATTTTCTGAATATCACGAACTTGAAAAGACGAATTTGTCGACCCGCTCGGTGTTCTGAACGTCTCGGGCAGGGCGTTGCGTTCATAAACTTGGATCCATTCTCCGCTCCCATACGCAGAGAAAGTCCTATATCCAAGCCACGCTCTTCTTCCATTATAGCCTTTATATTCGAATTTCATTTCGATGTTTCGTAAGCGATTTG